GCGACGAAAAAATTTTACTCGTCATAAAACGATAAATAGTTTGTCAAATTTTTATTCATAAAAATGCAGTTTCGACTGCTTTTTATTTTATAAAATCCGTCTTCTTGCGCCACCAAAGGGCCTTTTAAACAATAGATAGTCTGTTAGTGTTGGTCAGTAGTATCCCAAATTCGATACGAACGTTTGATTTCTTGAAAATTTGATCACGATTTAAATACAGCATTTGCTTTTAATATTACCGATATGTCATCGAACAGAAAACGTGTTGTATTATCATTAAAAGACAAATTAAAGTATTTGTTTCGATTATCCGGATTTTCCCGTATCCGGACTGCCTTCATCCCCAATTAGTCCGGATAATCGAGGTTCTACTGTATTATAAAATTTTAGAGATAATGTAATAAAAAATGATTATATTTGTTTAGGGAAGTTAGATCATTTCGTTATTAAATATAATCTTCACTTAACAGAACGTAAACAATATCAAGTTAAACTTACAGACACCTTAAACGTAAGTTAAATCAACATCATTACATAATTTCCGTTCGTCTTCTTTAAAAACTACGTGGAAAAAAAGAAAGAAAAACAAAATTAGACACGAGTAGAAGTACTATTTTGGTTAATTACTTTCAACTTTCTACTAACAACATTCCACTTAACTAATGAAAATCGTTATTTTAGTCACTTTAGTAATAAGAATGTTTTCATATAAGGCAATTTTCTTATATATTCCCACTGACGTTCGTCTGCCTGTCCGTCCGTTTATCCCTCGTTAATCTCGAGAACGTACTGTAGTTATATAGATGAAAATCCAGATTAGATGTAGTAAGTTTGGTGAAAGAATGGCTTCGATTAACTATATACGAAATAGATGTGAAATTCTAATTATTAAAACTATTTTTATTAGGTATACATATATAATACAATTAAAAAGCGCAGGGGAAGAAGAAAAAGTTTTCTCAAACACCAATAGATGGCAGCAAGCTAAACGAACCCATTGCTACTACATACGTTATTTCTACTAGGTTTAGAGTTTATGAAATGTCTGCGATGAAATATATCATAATTATAATTAAATTACAATTTAACTACTTCTGATAATATCGAAGTTTTGGTATTTAATAGGAATGGGAGGCTTGCATTGTATACAGTATTCGAACATCAACTGCACGTTATAGCCTAAGTCTAAGAGACTATACCCCAGATTACTTCTAATCATAGACTATAGAATTACGAAATTAGTTTAATCCAAGTTTAAAGAATCGATTAATCTTTTGTTTAGGCTAATCTTCTTTCTATTTATAAATAGAAATGGTGGTTACATTTTCAGTAGCATCATTTACAATGATGCCAATTATAAATATTAAGCAATCTGGATATAGGAAAGACCATAATCCGTCTACTAAAATTGATGATTGCAGGTTTTATATCAGATATTTTCAAAAAGTCATGTTGAAAATTTATATATGATTGTAAACATTATATAGTTACAAAAATATCTAACTCTTAAGAAACATTCTTAAACCCTTAATCTCCTTAATAACAGTAAATACTTCAAAGAATTATGTGAACACATTTATCTTCCTTCTTAAAATTCCCAATCAACTGTCTTACAAATCCATACTACATCGTTACAACGAATTTTAACTCACCCGAATCTAATTTTTGTATCGTTGCCAATAAATCTATACTAAATATTTTATTGCTTGAATTTTTCCGAATAACTATTTCTCAATAAAATTGTATATTAGATAGAAAAGAATCGTTTCTATAAGATTTATTATGAAATACTGCGATTTTCCGAGAAATTTTGAAGAGAAATTTCCTTTCTTGTAATGGGAAACACGAGATTGGACAATTGTTATATTGCAGCAATGTCCGTTTTGTTAAGAAATAAATTTTTATATGAATTTTTAACGCAAAAAATTGAATATAAAATCTAATAGAATAGATACAAAATGTAATTTTTGATTTAATTGTGTGTATATATTGCACTGTATCAGTATATTGTGCAAGGATCATATATGTCATACCTGTATTAACCTGTATGATTCTTTAATTAATGAAAAAATATAATATTAATAACATATATAATCAAATCTCTGAGAAGTGGATAATGACAGGAAAAAAAGTTGGCTATTGTTTGGAAATTATTTTCCACGCATTTCAAAAAGAAACGTTCCTGAAAAGTGGCCGCCATTTAGAAATGGCAATTGTTGGGAAGTAGCCGTTATAGGGTGTTCGACTGTATAAATAAAAGTGCTTAAATCCATAATACTGTTTAACGCCATGACCACTTGACATTGAAAAAATTCAATTGCTTTTTTTAAGATTAAGATCTTTTAAATCGATTATTAGTCAATGTAAAGTTTATGACGGATCCACTTGACAAATCTCTGGATCAATTTTAATTCCTTTCTAAGCGAATTGATCCTTTAGTTAGGTTAGATATGAACGTAGTCTTGAATCGATAATAAACGTAATCGATAATAAATTGTTTGATAGAGTTCATTTAAATCTATAAATATAAGCTTTGCATTTGTAAAGTTTGGTCAAAGAATGATTGATCATTTATTAAATGATCAATCAAAATCAATCAATAAATGTGACTTTTTATAGACGAAGACAAAGCAAATAACAAGATAAAANGTTTATATATCTAGATTTAAAATCTAAATAATTATTTTTTATTAATTAAATATCTTAAATAAATACTTGTCAGAGAGAAAATCAAAATTAAAGGGTTATATTTGTTGCAACGTTCTTTAAAACATAAAAGAAAAAGTTGGCAATGCTTGCTCCTTTTTTTGGTTACAAGAGTTAAGTAAAAATAGGTACACGGAGAATAAAGAGTTATATCACTGTCATTTATTAAAAACGTTTTAAATATGAATTTATTAAATAAAAATCACAAATAAACATTCAGTAATTACTGAAACTACACTACAAAGCAATCGTTATACTATTCTAATATAAAATTTATAATTTTTCTTATGTATAGATATTATATGGTATACAATACAGTGTTTATCTACAGTTTAAAAAGTAATTAATTAATTTTAAGGTTTTGAATAGAGTGCGCCGAATGGAATCCATGTAGCAAATATGGATTCTCTTGGGGTACAGCTAACTTTCGTGCGATATCTCCGAAGATATAAAAGAAATTATAATTGTTTTCATATCATGAGAATTTTCACTTCTATTCTCTCACTTCTAAATTTATAAAACAAAATGTGATTAGTTTACGGTTAGGATTTAAGAGACAAATTAATAGATACGAAAATTTGCTTTATTCAATCAGGTGCAATATTCGAAGAGCATTATGAATACCTACAATGGGCTTTCAGGTTAGCCGTGGACCAAGTTAACAGAAATCAAAGTATCCTTCGTAATATGAAATTGCGAACTTCCATCAGTATAGTAAAGAAAAATGATGGATTTTTCTCTGCTAAAAGAGGTATTTTAAAATAATTAATAATAATTATTGTAGAAAATGTAAATATCTTATTTGTATTATAATTATTTTCTTCATACTTTTAGCTTGTGAAATGGTAAATGAAGGTGTAGCGGCAATTTTTGGGCCACAGTCAGTTCGAAGTGTTGCAGCTGTGCAAGAAGTAACGGAATCTGTAGGAATTCCACTTATCATAAATCGCTGGGAATACAGAACAAAACCAAATAACACTACAGTATTTTTACATCCTCACGCAGACGTTAAAGGTTATGCATTTAGGGATTTCATTGAATCCAAGCGATGGAAGTCATTTGCTATTATATATCAAGATCCTAAAGGTTAGTTTTAGAGAAATAGTTCTGTAATTATAAATTTAAATTATCATTAATTATGAAATGACATTTTATTATTTTAGCATTAATTCGTCTAAGCGCAGTTCTATCGGGAGTGAGGAACATGGAGTTAGATAATAATCTTAATATCACGATAAAACAATTAGAGCATCCTCAACAGCTAAGAAAAATATTTAAAGAAACAAAGAAGATGAATATTAGAAATTATATAATCGATATTGGTACTCAGGATGTAATTTGGGTTTTAGAACAGGTAAACTTTGATAGTTTTCTATATTTTAAATTATTAAGGATTATTTATAATTATATTAATTATTGCATTTAAAGGCAAAAGAGATGAATATGATAGACTTTTATCACAATTTTTTCTTCACTTCTTTGGTGAGAAAAATTTTAACTTTTTAATATGAATTTTCTTCATCATTGCTGATTTTTCTTTCTTCCTACAGGATGTTCACACACAAGATTTTAAACAGTTTCAAGGAATTTATTGCAATATTACTATGTTTCAAATTGTAAATACCAATCACTATCAATATAAAACAATTATAAAGGAAATGGAGACAGGAATTTCTCATATTGGTGTAAAAGAAAAAATCAAGCCTTATTTGAATACCGTAAATATATAAACAGTTTTTTTCCCATTTATTGATTTTACATATTATTATTTAATAAATAGAAATATTTCAGCAAATTTAAATTTTTATGAATTCATTTAAATTCCAAAATTTCATTACTAATTCGTAATATAATATAATTCTTACAAATGTTTTACATACCACTTCTTAAGTATAATTAATTATGTAGTTTTATATTTATTGTTTATAATTTTATTATTTCTAATTTATTTTGAATTTTTTTTTATTAATTTAATAGACACAGTTTGCACTTATGTATGATGCAGTATTTTATTTTGCAACGGCTCTGACGAAGCTTGGATCTTATCTTCAACCGACTACCGTTTCGCTTTCATGTAACTCAACAAATAAATGGTCACAAGGAAAAATTATAATCGATGCAATGAAATCAGTAAATTAATCTTACTGTAGTTATTTGCTTTGTTAATTCGCCAATCATGCAGTTAAAATAATTATAGAATTATTATTATTTATTTCTCAGATTAATTATGAAGGATTAACTGGTGTTATTAATCTAGATGAGAATGGTTTCAGAACCAATTTTAACTTATTAGAGACTAGATTGCTGTGGGGAAAATTAAACGTGGTATGTAACTATTATAAATAATAATTTTGTTGTCTTTATATAAAACTATAATATATTAATTTAAGCAAATAGTATTAAATAATACAGACAGTCCTCGGTTAATATGCTAGATACGTTCCTTAAAAGTAGCGTCGTGAGTGAAATTCTATCTTATATAAGAATACAACCATTAATGAATGCATTCTTGAGGTATGATGTATACACCTGATTATCTTCTTAGTTTTTCAATTCTCAGGACGATAAGTCACAAGGTATACATGATTCAGAAAAGATATGTTTATGATAACTAATCTACTAGTGCATTCTTCGAAACGCATCTAATATATAATCGAGACGGGTTGATAATAATAATAATAATAATAATAATAAGCGCAGAGCCCAAACGGTTAGGAGTTGAAAGTTGAAATTTGGTACACAGATAGGGTACGTCACGAAAACGCACACTAAGAAGGGATTTTTCGAAATTCTCCCCCGGGGGGAGAGAGACAGGATTAAAACTTCTATATACATTATGGATATGAGCCAAACGGTTAGGAGTTGAAAGTTGAAATTTGGTACACAGATAGGGTACGTCACGAAAACGCACACTAAGAAGGGATTTTTCGAAATTCTCCCCCGGGGG